AGGCATGTTTTTTAGCAGCCATGCTGTTACATGACTTCATCTGCAGGCAGCGAATTAGCGTCTTCCTGCTTGTGCCACTGATCTGTTCTTATTTTGGAGCCCAACCATCCAACATGTTCCATTTGCACCTTTCCTCCGTGCTCTGCCATGTGCTGCCGGGAGCTGCTTCCCACCGCTGCGGTGAGGCTGAGCCCCTTGCAGCTCTGCCTCCCAGCTCCCCTCCTGCACACGCTGCGCTTTATGACGCCGACTTCCATTACAACGAATGTTTTGTTCTTTTAACAGCTGATTAAACTCCAAGGGATGATACATCCCTAATGAGAAATGAGTGCCCACCAGAGAGCACATGGAAATTCCCAGCCAGGCTGATGAGTGCTGCACTGCAGCGCTGTGTGTGGGGACGGCCTGGGATCGCTGCGGGGTGCAGCCTGCGGGGTGTGCAGAGCTCCGTGTGTTGGGGAGCCAGGGTGACGAGTGGGCCTGAGCTCGTGCCTGGGCTCTGGGTGTGAGCACAGCAACAGCTGCTGGTGGTGAAGGTGTGGGCACGACTCTGTGTATAGGAGAGTGTGTGCAGATATGTGCAGGCTCAGGAAAGGCTGGCTTAACGGATGTGGGCAAACTCCGTGCAAGAGAAGCAAGGCTCATTTGTGTCCGTTTAAAAATGCTTAACAACAGGCTGTTAGCAATGCCAGCTTTGGTTTGCTTGCTGAGAATGCCCAAGCTCGGCCCTGACTCGGGAGTGATGCATTTGGGAAGCATGAGTGCGAGCAGACAGGTGTGCAAAGGACAGGCAGTGAGCGAGTTCTGCCTGCTGTGAGCAGCCTGTGGGACAGGGCTGAGAAGGAAGCCAGGGATATCAGTGTGGGGCTGATAAGGGCTGTGGGGTGTCTGCAGCAGATAGGGTCTGAGCCGCTGCCAGGAAGCAGCCTGCCTGCTGCCTACCCACACGTTGCAGCAGAGCAGAGCCCAGCAGTGTCCTCAGGGTTGGCTGCTGTGCCTGGCCACACTTGGTGGGCCGGTGCCCCCAGCCTGGGGCACTGTGCACTGTACTGCCATGCCCCGTCCCATCTGGTGGGAGCAGTGCTGCTGTGTTGTACCCGAGCTGACATTTGGCTCTCAACAACACAAGCCATTGGTGGGCTGGGTCTGGTAGTGGCAGTTAGGGTGTAGAGTATGGTCCCATAATCTAAAGATTACAATTTTATGGTCAGCAATGGGTAACCTGAGAACTCAGAGTCATAGTCCATACTGCACAATACCCAGCACAACTGTCACACATTCCTATACAAACTGTCTTTTCCTCTCCCTCTCTGATGAAAACTTCCTCATACCATAATCCAAAGGGTATCTGAGCCACAGTTTGGAGCCTGAGCCTTCTGAATTTCAGAGCATGCGAATGGCTCCCGCTCCGCGCTGCTGCCGTGCTGCACAGTGGAAGTGGCTTCATGGTCCCAGTCGAGCAGCCGCGCTTTGGGTTCTAAAGATAACAGGAGTGCTGGAGAACTGCTCTCATTTCAGCATGGGGCACTCTGCCTCCTTCCCATACTGCCATTTTAAATGGAATTACTGTTCTCCATAGATAAGGTATTTGGTTCAGCTTCTGGCAGAGGAAGGCAGAAGAGTGGGCACTGCGTAGGGAGGGAGCCGAGCCTTGGGACCAGCTGCCTCGCACACCCTAAGTGCCCTGCTGTGACATGGGTGGGCAGAGCCAGGACTGGGGGCGAGGGCTGTGCCAGGCAGAGCCTGAGCTGCTTGGGCTGGGGGTCTCTTGGGGATCAATCTTTGATCCCAGGGCTGGAGCCCCAGCAGCCTGGTGCAGAGCCTACTCTGAAAATACAGTGGAAAATAGTTGGAATTATCAGAATCTTTTGTAATCTCTAGAATTTATCTACGAGAAGTTAAAGAAGGCAAATTACCTCTGTTAATGTTCAGACATGAGCGGGTATGTTTGCTGTTACACAAACCTCTTAAAGTTATTAATGATTGATTTTAATGTCTTGTACTTAATGGGGGCAGATCTGGCTCAGCGCACAGCGCTGGCGGGAGGGGCACGCTGCCTCGGCCATGGGTTCCCCATCCAGTACTATGGGGTGTGCAGAGGGGCTCCCCTGGCCCCAGAGCCCCCACCCCATTCTGGGACCCCCAGCAGTTGTGTCACCGCACGATGCCGCCCATCTTCACAGACTCCAGGTCAGCTAAACACAAGAGGTCGGTTCCCCACGGCCACATGGTTTACAGGAAGTGACCGGGATGTGGCCGAGCAGTAAATACAAATTGCTTTCATCTCGTGCCACGCTCTTAGTGCGATCCCATCCCAGTGCACAGCTTCAGGAGAGCGGCTGTGATGTGCTGGTGGTGCCGGGGGGATGCAGCTGAGCTGTGAGTGCAGCCGCAGGTGCCGTAGTGCCACCCCTCGCCCGTCCCCCATGAGCCCTTTGCAGGGTCCCCACGCCGTGTCCCCATGTTTGCATGGGCACTGCTAGGAGAGCCGTGCGGGCACTGAGCAGGGTCAGAACAAACACAGCAGGTTGGTTCCATGGCTCTGGGGCTGGGTGCGGTGTCCAAAGGTGGGCAGTGAAGACAAGACGGCCGCTGATCCTCAGGGCTGCAGCGAATGCACGGAACCACATTCACCATTAGTTACTCTGTGCTTGAAACTGGTGTTTGGCAACTACTGTGCTCCTCAGAACAACAAGCCTGGAATTATAGAATGCACAAGAGATGAATGCTCAGTTCCCTGTGTGGGGGTTTCCATGTGGCCGGCGTGGGAGGGCGGGAGGGTGTTCCTCACACAGCTCTGCAGCTGCTGCGGCCCTCAGGGGTCACAGGGGGACATGCAGCGAGGGGCAGAGCCCCACAGTGCACGCAGTCGGGGCCCTGAGGGGTGCGGGTGGGACAGCAGCTGGGCAGCCAGACAGGGGAAGGGCAGTGGGACAGAGGAAGGGCTCTGCTCCCTCCAGTGAGTGCGCGCTGCCTTTCCCCAGTGCCCCCCTGCACTGTGCTCACAGAGATGTTGGCCCAGCGTCAGCCCACCCCCCTTCCCCCCCACTTCAGGTTCCATTGCAATACGTGCTCTCTGTGCAGTGTGTCTGTGTTTTCAGACCTTCTCCAAGTGCTGTTTCCCTCTGCACAGCTTCTGCTTCATTATTCTGATTGAATCAAGCTGTAGCTGAGGCAGAGGGCAGACTTTCTGGCTAATGGCAGACCGTGACTTGTTTGTACTTCTTGTTATAGATTTTTCCTAATTACCCACACTTCTCGGAGCCAGCTGAAAAAAAAACAGCGAGCAGGCAGTGGATGTGAACCCCACTGCATCTCCTGCAGCTGCAGAAAAAGCACTACACTCACAGGGCTGCACACAGTGGAGGCAGAGGGGCCAGCAGGCTCCCACCACAACCCCTCCTGATCCCATCGCTGCCTGGGAAAGATGGGCTCTCCCATCCCACGGTCCCACTGGGGGACACACGGGTTTGGGGTGAGCAATGGGCTGAGTGGGACCGGGCTGTGCTGGAGGCTCCCGTTTTCGCAGAGCAGCGCAGGATGCAGAGCACAGTGATGGGGCAGCACTGGTGGCATTCCCTGCAGCACATGGCCGCTCTCAGTGACCTGCATTGGATGGCTGAGCGTTCTCGTCCATGACTCACTGCAGAGCAAATGCCGAGTGTGACATGGGGGAAGGAATACAATGGCCCTCCATGCACTGCGGCCATGGCTTTTGGCCTGCTGCTCATGCATGTTGGCCCGTGCTGTGCTGCGAGCTGTGCAGCTTTGGTTTCCTCCCTGCAAACCACGCTGGGGCCTCTGCTGCCAGCTCCTTCCTGCAGCAGTGCAGGGCAGGGTGGGCCCCAGCCTGACCACAGCCGGCGGGAACCACCACCACTGAGCAGAGCAGACAGCAGTGCACGTTGTGCTGGGTGCTGCCACCCCGCTGCAGTGCTGCTCACCTCCTCCTCTCCCAAATGGAGGAGTGCTGCAGGAGGAGGTCCTTCCAGGCAGCCCCGTGTTCCCACAGAGCCCCCAGTTGTGCACAGCTCTGTCTGCACTTGGCTGCAGCAAGGGGGAGTGAGCTCAGGTGGGCCTGCAGGGAAGGAAAGCAATTCTTCCTCTTGAGAAGTCCCAGTTGGTTCCCAAGGGATGACGAAAAGAGTCTACAATGGTCCCAACTTTTGAACCTTCAGCTGCTCCTGTAATGCCTTTGTTTACATTTAATAACTTTTAATTTATTGATGTTCTTCCCATGCAGTTTGCTGCTCAGCAGATGCAGCTGTTGTGCACGAAGAGCTCTGCAAACAGCACTGTGGCTGCTGGGTGAGTTGAGCTCCTGGCCCTGCAGTGTGAATGGTGCTTTCCTGCTGGGATCGTCTGCTTTGGGCAGGGATGGGGCAAAGGAGCAGCACCGCCTGGGGCCCCACACAGCCCTGTGCCAGCACTGCTGTGCTGTGGGGAACGGCGACATCCTGAAATGAGTGGCAGATGTCTGGTGCTCAATTTGTCATTCTGTAGTTGGAGTCAAAATGTTCATGTTTTCACACTGAGTGGTGTTAAAACTGAGATGCCGGAATGTGGCAGCTCCTCAGGATGCTGACAGCATTTCTCTGTAAAACGTCCATGTGCATGGGGCAGGAAGTATGGATGTCCCACATGGATGCAACCCGAAGCTGTGGGTGAAGCCAGCAGGACCTGGCAGCTCCAGCACCCAGAGCTGAGCAGTGCATCGTGTGCCTCAGAACTGTCTCCACTCCAGAACTGTCCTGACTTAACAAGAGATCCATGCTGGCAGCAGCAGTGCTGCGGGGATGGGGCTGAGAAACAGAGCAGGGCTGTGGCTTCTGTGCTTTGGCCGTGGGGCTGCAGTGGGGACCTGGCCCCCCATTGAGGTCCCCCCCAACGTGGTCCTCCTGGTCAGCAGCTGATTTTGCCATCAGCCCCACTCCTGCAGCCTCCGTATCCCATCACGCACCTTATGAGACAGCTCGTAATTAACACAAAGCCCCACACGGTTTGCACACAGTCTGTTTTTAATCCCAGCCCCACAGTGCGTGGGGCACGCTGTCGTGTTCACACAGAGGCTCAGAGCAAAGCCTGCCCTGCTGGGACACGGCAGTGCCTGCACACAGCGGTGCTGAGGGGCCCTGCGGTGCCGTGGGGCTCTGGCTCACCGCCCTGCAGGCGGAGCACAGCCGCGCACAGCCCTGGTGCTGCCCGTGACACGTGTGCCCGCAGCACACAGCCGGGCCAGGCACGCCGCTCCGACACGCAGAGACACGAAAGTGTTGACACATTTCTTCCTGTTCCCATCTCAAACCGAACTGCGAGTGGTGCTGCCGGAAAATCATGTGCCTCATTGCACAGATTTCTCTGCAGAGCGAGCGCTCGCCTCGGAAGGGCAAAGCATCGCGGACTGAAATTAGTAAATACTCTGATTGGTGAGAGGCTGTCACAGCACGCCTGAACCAGCTGCCAAATTTTTCACCGTCAGCGCGGTGAGTCGGTGCCCCTCGGAAAGCAGGAGACCTCAGCGCGGCTCACACAGCCGTGGATGTCCGTGATGCCGGGGGAGGACTGACAGAGAAACCGCAGCACGGCGGCCGTTCACCTGGAGGGACCGCAGGCTGCTGCGCTGCAGAGCTCTGCTGGGACAGAGAGGAGAGAGCCGCTCCGCGCCCCGGGCCGGCGGGGGCTGCCGAGAGGCTTCACCTCTGTGCCCGGGGCGCCGCCGTGCCCGTGTCTGCAGGCAGGAGAAGCGCGCGGGCAGAGAGCGGCAGCGCGGCTGGGTTTGGCCGTGCTGAAGGCAGAGCGGGGGCTGATTCCTGCAAAGGAAAACAGATTGCGAAACACAGGATTGCCCAACGTGCCCACCGGTGACTCACGGAGCTCAAAGCCACACGCGCTGCTCGAGGGGCACCGCTGCCCATGGCCGGCAGCCGGGCCCACAGCCCGCCCTACACGCGTGGCCCCGCGCAGCGCCGGGCTGCGGGCAGGCTGTGGGGCAGCAGAGCTCTGGGTGCGGGTAATGGGAGCGGGACAAAGCGGCGCTGCCCCGTGCCGAGCACCCGCCTTAAGACGCTAACGCTGCCGCTGCGTTTATCGCCGAGCGCTGGAGGCCAACGTCCTGTTTGCCAACCGCCCGCCTCCATCTGCTGCGGCCCCTCCAAAGGACAACAACCGGGTCCTGAGTGCTGGGTGCGAAGGTCAGCCGCCGGGAGAGCAGCACTGACCCGAGGGCTGGCGGAGGGGGAGGGATGGAAGCCTAGAAAATCACTTCAGGGCAATTGTGAAAGGGTTTTTTTTACAGCTCAGAGTGCAACGGACTTCTTCCCTGGAAATGAGGCCACTGAGGCGTGGGAGGCCGGGGCTGGGGAGCGGGGAGCCAGGGAGGGGGGCAGGGGCCAAAAATCCTAAAGCCAGAAAGTGGAAGGTTGAAAAAAAAACAGGGGTCAAAAAAAAGACGGAGAGGCTGAAAAGGAGTGGGAAACTGGAACAGAAGTGGGAGCTGAGAAAAGAAGTGAAGACCAAAAAATCAAAGGGTTGGCCAAGAGACCACGAGCAGCAGCCAAGAGGGGCGGCCTGGTGCCACCTACAGAGAAATGGCAGAGCTGGGACCTGGAAAGCCTGAGCCCATCTCTGAACCTGCAGCAGAGCTGGGAGTGCAATTAAAACCCCCTCAGTGCGCCCAGCAGGGGTCTGCATGGGGTGGTGGGGGCTCTGGGACAGCAGCATCTCCCACCCAGCACCCGTGGGATGGGATACGAAGGTGGCACTTTGAGTTTGGCACTTATGGACCAACTGCACTCCAAAAACAAAAACTCCCCATGTTTCATTATGAGCCAGAGCTGCTCAGTATATAACGTGCCAATGCTCCTGGGGTTGGCAGCGCTCGGTGCCCAGCCCAGCTCTCAGCTCTGGGGCTGCACCCAGAGAGCACCCCGAGGAGGAGCACCCCAGTGCAGGGCAGTGCCCACTGTGGGGGCAGCACCGTGAGTGCAGGCACTGCACGGCTCCCGGCAGCTCTGCTGTAGGATGTGCTGCAACCGGGAGGAGTGAGGGCGGCAGGAATGCAGCAATTGAGCCACACAGGGAGCTGCAAAGGAGCCCCATCTGCAGGCACACAGCACTTGCAGCTCAGCCTCCTGAGGCCAGGCCCGCAGCTCCCCACAGTGAGCACAGCAGCAGTGCCTGCTCACATCTCGGGGACGCAGCGGCTCTCAGTGGCTGATGCGGGTTTTTACCCAGCACTGAGAGCTCAGCGTCTGAGAGCTCCGTTCTGAGCCAGGCCCTTGTGAATGCAGCAGCACAGCTCACGCCGCCACAGCAGCACTCAGCAGCAGTGCGTATCGGGAGCGGGAGGCAGCCTGCAGGGCCGGGGCTGGCACAGCTCTGCACTCCTTCTCCACAGAGGTGCTGTGGAGCTGTAAGCTGTCCCCGATGGAGCAGGGACAGGCAGAGCCCTGTGGAGGTGTCTGCGCTCTGCAGCGCCGCACTGCACAAAGCAGGACCCCCTGGGCAGCTCTGGTGGGACCGTGAGATTCCAGGAGGAACTCATCAGGTGAGCAACCAGATTTTCCTCTATACAGATGGAAGCCAATGGTTCCTGGTGCACGCTGGGCACGCCGCTGCAGGGCACAAAGCCCGGTGCTGACCTGAGCAAGGCACTGCCCCCGGAACAGGTCGGCTCGCCGCAGCGTTCTCCCCTGGCACCGCACACTATTAACGCAGGGAGGCACCCAGCTCATTTTGCTCGAAGCCCTGAAAGACAGCAGTACTGGAGGGGCAGGTGGGAAGAGGGACGGCCCACTGCTGAGCCACTCCCGGACCAGAGACGTGCTTTTAGAAGACGAAATCGAGCAGCGGGTGGACGGGGCTGTGGGCAGCAGTGCTCACAGGGGGCTTTGGGGCCCGCAGCTCCCGTGGGACTCCAGGTTGGGAACCCCAGTTGCGTCCCAGCCCAGCGCCTGCAGCAGTGCAGCCTGCGGCGCGTGGGGCTCAGCTATGTGTCCAAAGCTGCCATCTCCGCCCCACTGCCGCCGCAGCTCAGCCCTGCAGAGCCCACGGCTGCTGTGTGCTGGCGAAGGAAACCGAAGCCCAGGGGCACCTCAGGCTTCTTCCCCCGCAGGTAGAGGATGTTCTCTCAGACGCACGAACACACGGACACAGCTGTGTGAAAGAGAACGGTGCAATTTTTAACCTGCTATCAGAAAACGTAATTAAGAAAGAGAACTTTTATTAGGGCAATTTCACTTTATTTTTCCATACAGCAAGGTCAACTATAGCAGTAAGAATAAAATAAGCATAAAAACAAATTGCAGCCCAGGACAGAGTACATAATTCGGAGCAACTACAAGCAAAAGTAAGTTTGTGATTACATAATAGTAAAACCAAGCACATCTGTCCTTTCAGCAGATGAAAGTTGCGGGGTTGCAAATAAGTGCAGCTTACCCCTCGTTGCGTCTGAGCACCGGAGGGAGGTAAGGAACGGCCCCACCGCCTTTTCTTTCCAGCTTTGGCATCGGCAACCACGAGGTTTATTGAGTGCTTCCCATTAAAACTGTAAAATTTCGTCTGTTTTTTTTTCTTTTTTTTCACCTGCTAAAAGAACAGGACCACTACAGCAATAAAAAATAATCACGTAACAACTACAGCTACGGTGTGCTGTTCGGTTTGCCTGTTCATGATTCAACTCTTTTGTGAAAGTCAGTATCGGTTTTGAAGAATCTTTTTTGTGAACAATAAACCACTGAAATGGTCAGAAACTGGTCGGAGTAGTATATACCTTTAATATAGCTTTGATACTTTAAACATGCAGTAGTTTCTGAGTAATGTACGCAATACTGGATCCATGGGTTCACCTTGATGGTTTGAAGTACCGGCTTTTTTTTGTTCTTTTTCCTTTTTTTTTTTTTTTTTTTTTTTCCTTTTTTCGTAATGGTTTTCAGGCAGATTTGAACCAGTGGAGCTTTTGTCAGTCATGAGATCTCGGAAGGATGGCAGATCTTTCCAGCTGAAAAAATCCTGGCAAACTACAAGCTGTCCACATAAAGCAAAGCAACTTTTTCGAAGGGGTATGGAGTGCTAACTCTGTGCCACTTTTGCAAGCAATTTTGTTCAGCCTGTCATTTTATTAGCCTTAACAAAACTCCTTGTAATTATAGACATTTTTATTCAAAATAAGATCTTACTATTATACAGGTTTCTCTCTTTTTTGACTATATACAGAAGTGCAAAAAGTCAACCTTCTCCCGGTCCGTTCCCACATGCTCAACTGCAGCATAATCAACCCTCACGAGTTTGCACACACACGCTATAATTCTCATTACGTAAACTTTGAGTATTTGGATTATCAACAAAAAGTCCCTTGATCTATCGATTATGCAGCTTATTTATAACAAGGCCTGATATCCAGGGATCTCAAAAAATAGTTAAACAATATTTTAACATTTGAAATGGATACAGTAGAAAATAAATTTTATTCTAATATCTAGGAACTAGATTTTCTCATAATAACTAATTACAAACAAAATAAATCATCAAAATATTACTCAATTGTCTGCCAGGATCGTTGCCATAGCAACAACTTAACTCCTTACTTAGCAATGATTATATAATTATAAGATATCCATATAAAAGATCTTTGTTCTTTTAATGAGAACTAGACAAGAACTAACGATGACTGACATTCTTACATTGTCATATTAAATTGGCAAAATAGAAGTCATTTTGTCAACAAGAATACGAATATTCGGATGACGCTACAGAGATCCAAAACTGAGTTACGTGATGAAGAAAACTGCTCTCTATTTCAGAAAACTCATCGCTCAGCTCTGACAAAACACGACCCCAGGAGCTGAAACGGCACTCAGCTGGTAATAGGAAACGAAACGACCTAATAAATGTAAGAAATGAAAACTACACTTCCGACGAGAAGAAAATAAGCAATATTCTATAATGTCGAGTAACTACGATAACATGTGAAGTCACCTATACTTTCTTAACACGATTGAAATTACATTGGTATGGGTTGTAACCCGTAATGTAATAATCTAAGGCTTTAATAGATGTACAGTACAATCAGTAAAATCAACACGTCATTCTTAGACTATAAAGCATCTCTCTCAAGCATAAAAACTCGCCGTAAACTCGGAAGTATGGAGGGTTCTAGAACCGAACCCGCGCTTCTTCCACCCGCTGTGCTGCCAGTGCCCTGGCCCCCACGTCAGCACTTTGCTGAACAGAGCAAAAATACCCTTTACGAGCTGCAACATCCAAACCACAAAGAGGAATTCCTTTGGATGAATCCGTTCTTAAAACTTGAATGCACATCTATCTGTTTTTTATTATTATTTTGTAAAGGCTTTCTAAGGCTATAAGCAGTTAATCTGAACAAAAAATCACATATAAAACTCACCCGAGCATTTACCCCCCCCGGTTCCTACGCTATTCAACATCTCCGTTTCGCCACGTTTTGGTTTGTCGTGCATCTGACCCAGTGCTTCCGCCGCCTTAGTTTAGAGTCACCAGTTAAGGCGTGACTGTGCGAAGGGAAGGCGCAGCCCGTCTGCAGAGCGTTTAGAGTCCTTTGACTTCTGACAGAGGCTGTACAGAGAAGCAGGAGAAGTTCCTCACACACTTGTCACCGCGTCTCAGAAATGGCTTTTCCCTTTCCGGCGCGCGGCAGCACAGCGAGCGCCATTTCTGAGACGGCTTTGGTTTGGAAACAGAACGGTGCCCTTTGCCTGATCGGTACGAGCAAGGAAAGCGAAAACGTGGTTCTGAAAGTAACACTGCAAAATAACACTCTGGTCTGATGTACAGTCTATGGCACTTCATGAGAATCCTTAACAACGTGGTACTTAAAGCCATCGACGCGCTTTAAAATAGACACGGTTGTGGTTTTGCTTGGCACATTCATCTCTGTCAGATACCTCTCTTACCGCTTCTTACAATCTATTACATTAAAAATATTACTCTTAAAACAAAAATTACTGTGCATGCACGCTCTCATCTATAATGGCAATTTTAAATACAAGGTGCACCTTTGTTATTTGTAAACCTTGAAAGAAATAAACTTACTTTAAAAAATTATATCTTGGTCTACAGACGTACCAATACATAATAGATTCATGGTTACATCATAGTCTGTCTTTTCAAGGTGACGCACGTGGTTATGTGGCAAACAGGCCGCACACGCGAATGCGAGCGCGTACGCACACTGCTGTGCTAGAAAAGACAGACAATGTTGTAGTTCTTAGACAAGAAGATCACCTCAGCACAAATATCAATTAAATGTACAAAGTATATAGGCAACAGTGTGCAGTGGATTTCCAAGTTCTCGTTCGTCTCCATAACATGCAATGTGTGGATGTCTTACTGCTGAGGGGGTTCTGAGTGTGGCTTGACGGTATATACATTATGGCTAATGAACTTGTCCTTCCTCAACCCAAACACACTGTCCTTTTCTCCTCAGTGATGATCTGGAAAGGAAAGAAGAGTGCTGTTATCCCCGCGGCCAGACGAGGGAGCAGCCAGAGAGCACACAGCACAGCGGGGCTGTCTGCTGGGCGCCCTGCCTGCTGCACTCATGGCCATAAGCACGGCACTGCAAGGCACCCCTGCTGCACTCATGGCCATAAGCACGGCATGGCACTGGCCAGCCATCACCCAAAGCAGTGCCCTGCTGGGACCAGGCCCTGCAGTGGCAAACACTGCAGAAACAGAACACAAAACGTAGAAGGATAACACAAACAGCATGGTACCCAGAGGTGATGTGCTGCTGATAGTCTGAATTCAGCATGCCAATTAGCAACAGTTTGAAAACTACATCTGGCTCAGAGGAAGACACAGGAGGGGAGAACCTCTCCGGCTCAGGCACTGACCTCAGGCTGTGCAGGAGGAGAAATGTGCTGCCACACACTGTCTGTGGGCACAGCTCCAGCAACACATGAGCAGCACCCGCAGCGACACCCCTGCTGCACTGCCTGGCACACTGCTGCAACAGGCCCTGCAGACAGCAATCGGGCTGCAGCTCGGTGACTAACCCTGCACGTGGTGACTAACCCTGCCTTTCCAAATGTGGAGAGTTAAAATTGCTTCTTTCTATCGAGAGCTTGGCATGACTCCTTCACCTAGAGCTGGCATCATCATCCTTTATATATAGGAAGCAAAACCCCAATCAGAGAGACTCTATTTTGCTATCCAAAAGTACATCCGCACGCAGAGTGCTCCCCATGCATGCCTGTCCTGACACCAGGCCAGCACAGGGGCTGGCGGGGCACTGCCAACTATAGGCTCTTCCTTCACAGAATGGCAGCAGTGGGAGCTCAGCCTCCTCCCTCATATCTCAGTAGTTTTCTTTGAAAGGAAATAAAAACATTATCCCCCTGCAAATGACAAATTAAGCATGCGTAAGAAAACTGCAGGCAGAAACACATTGGAAACTTACTGTTTGATGACAAAATGTCTACATCTGTGTAACATACTTGTGGCTAGTCAGATGTTCGGCAGATATTATGGGTATCTATAGGTAAAAAAATGTAAACAATGAGTAACACGTGCCACAAGCCAACCCAGAGAGGCAGTATTTTGCTACAGAACACAACAGTCTGGAAAAGTAAGCATCAGCTGTGAGTTGGTGGATTTTACATTGTAACTATAAGTTAAAGTCAACTGAAGTGCTACAATAGCAACTTAAAATGAGAAAACATTGTGCTAAGTACTACTGACAAATACAAATAAGTATTATTGGTCATTGAGGAAATAACAGAAGTTAAAATCTACAAAAGTCATGCAGTGCGGTAATTGAAAATAGCCCTTTTTGTTGGCCTACACAAAATTTGGTGCTTTCAGTGTATCATTTCAAGTCATTTAAAATGACAAATCCCACCCTGGCTTTGCTTCAGCCCGATTTTGTGAAGTGCTCCTGCTCTCCGTGTCCCTGGGCCCAGCCCTGCAGCACCCCGGGCTGGAGAAGAGCGCAGCATGGGGCACAGCTGGGGCTGCCTGGCACCGCTGGGCGCCGTGGGCCTGGCTGCCGAGCTGGGACTGCCCCAAGCAGCAGAACGCTTCTCAAAATCTCCATGTGCACAGGCAGAATTCACTGCACGGCTTCTTAAGTGTCCCATCAACCCATCAACTCATTTTCCTCTCTTCTTCAAAACGAAGTGAAGATGCCAGCGGGCTACCAGCAGTACGGCTATGGAACGCACGCCCTGCCCCCCGCGCCGGGCGCAGCCCCGCAGCACAGCGCCCCAGCACAGCTCCGGCCTGTGAGGAGACACTAATGCACACAGGACCAGGAACTGTGGTTACCCAGAGGAAAAGGACGTCCTGCTGGATGGAGCAAATGGATTTGTTCGCGTGCAGGAGGACGTGGCACAGCACACAGAACAGCTCCGTACAGCCACACACAGCTGCTGCACTTGAAGAGACTCTCTCCTAATGGCACTAACATTGGTCTATTAACCCAAGCACGAAAGGCAATGAAGAGGACTTCTCCTAACCAAACCGGCGCTAGGTCTCGGTGCTGTTTTCTCCACCCTCTTCCCTCTCCTCCCCTAGCAGTGTCACACAGCTCCACCGCACTGCTCACTTGCACGGAAATGCCTCGAGGGTAAGGAATTGTCTCGTACCATTCTCCTACTGCTGCAGGCAGGCTGGCGCACCCAGCTGCGGAGAGCATCGGGGCGGTGCTGGCGGGACATGGCAGGGACCTCCAACACCAGTCAGTGAAGATGAAGGGCCAGATCTGAAGACTTTGGCATGCATGCACATTGCATCGTGTGGCAGTAAATAACTTTAGCATTGCTCACATGGTATATACATATATCCATAATATATGTATATATTGAGGTTTGGCTGCGGTACTTTACTAAGTGTGTTATGAGGCTCCAGGGAGGAGATGCGTGAAATGATCCATTTCTACAACGGAGAGCTTCCCTGTGATCTGTCTGGGAAAACGCATGGCAATTTGGACAAAGAAAACTTTAGAACTGATGATGACTCTCTGCTGCTTCTTGACTTGTTCCCTTTGCTCTAATGGAGAACCTACGGACAAATCCTGAAATGAACCATGCAGTGCAGTCCATTGTGGCACTGAGATGCTTTGGGGACACGCAACAGAGGCAGCTGCAGCTCTAGGCTGGCCCTGCCAAACACCCAGCAGTTCTCATACTGGTTTGCACCCAGGACATGGGCACTGGGCAAACATCTCCTCTTCCAAGGCAGAGGCACAGGAGCTCTGTTTGGGATGCACAACACTAAGGCCTGGCTGCCAGCCCTGTGCATCCTGCAGTAGAATCACCTCTGGAACGGCACCTCTGAGCCCTCGCTAAGTGGCCCCAGCACCACGGCACAGGCAGGGCGCTGCAGGAGATAGGGAGCCTCCCTCACAAACTGACCTCCCCCACCGGGATCAACACCCATACAGTAGCACACTTGCAAGACGTTACAGGCCATGTTTCCTCTCCTCTTCTAAAAGGCACGTAGTGATCCCTCACTCAGAGCAGAACTGACGGCTTAAGGACATATGGCAATTCTCACTTGCTAGTACAACTCACAAAATCTTTTGCTTTTCTAAGAGAAACAAGACTGTCATTTAAAAGCTTCTGCTGGTGCACCTTCACCCACATACTGTGTGAGACTGCCTGCCCACAGCCCAGCCATGCAGGTGCAGCCCTTGGGGCCACTCTGCTCCCCAGCCCTGGTGCTTGTCCCCACCGCAGGCTCTCTCTGGGGCTCCTGGCAGGGTTTCCAATTGCTCATTCATTAAAACACTATTCTTTTTTTCCAAAATACATCCGAACATGGGAACAAGTGGGGTAACTGTCTGGAAAGAAAGTCAAACCTTACTGGACATTTTATTAGCAAAAGTTTGTCTAGCGCAGAAAGTAATTGGCCTTTGCCTAGCAGAATTGTAAGTAGAAAAAAAGGCTTAAATCCTGCTTCTGCATGGCCCAGCCCCAAATGTCTTTGCTTTGCTTTTGGAAGAGCTGAGGAGAATCAGAACACGGTCAGGCTGCTAAGCTCAGAGTTACAGTCCTGATCCTGCCATCCCCACGCACAAAAGTTGTACTGATCTGAGTGGAGTTCTGCACAAAGAGGAACTGTAGGCTTCACAGAAATAGAAATAAGTAATGGGTTCCTTGTATTATCCCTTTCTCTTTGCATCTCTGAGAGCAGAAATAAGCAGCACGGCCCATAAATGTCGAGACTGAGTCAGAAACTCCATTATCGATTATTTTTAGCATCAGAAATGGAACTGCAGCACCTTTGGAGCATGGATAAAGGCTTATTAAGCTGTGCCACAGATCTTACAGAGAATGTGTAGGCCAACAAGAGGCATAATCAAAACCCCCATGCTCATTAAAGCACTGATTTCAAGATGTCTGTAAGGAACAAAGCTGTAAATTAGCAAACCTGGTTGGCTGTGGCTGTTGCAGCGAAGGGAACACTTGTGGCAGATGTTGTTGCTGCAGACACAGTGGCTGGCGTAGCACCGTGCACCATGGGAACTTTCGGAAGGAAAATCATATAAGCAAACATACAGAAGAGTGTAGCAGTATGGGAACCAGAGCGACATGTGGTAGGATCATTGAGCATGGTATTTATCACAGCAAAAAGCCCGAGACGTCATTGGCAGCGCGTGACATGCAACCACAGTGCAAAGCAGGACAACATGCCGGAGAGAGAGGGGAGGGAAACGAAAGAGAAAAAAAGGGGAAATGCTTGTTACCATCAAATTGAGAAATCGACACAAACAAGCTTCATCATTTCAGTACAAAAATCAACAGAAGAATTTTAAAACGCCCTTACACTTACATGTTTTTGTCTTTAAAATTTCAACCCAAATATTTACTCAAAACAGAAATTACTCTTGTCGAAGGACAGTATACTCGCACGTCGCTATAGCAAGACACAGTCTTTATTTAAAACGAGATAGTCTCTGAACACTGGAACTCATAGTCCAATCAAAATCCACCAAGGAACATTGTGCAATTCAAACGAGTGCTATAGGGGACTGACAACATCTACGTGTCTGTGTCAATTAAATAAAACGACTGCATTTAATTGACAGGTGTTAGTGCGGGAGGCTGAGGGGACGGATTGGCACAGGAGCTACCAGTTACGATCTAGCAGTGGATTTTGAGGGTCCGTGAGCTGCACCACAGGTTTAAGATAATCAAGAAACAAAGCTGGCACCTACCAACACTTGTAGCGGGTGTCATGCACAATATTGAGCCTGCCCATCATGCATTGCAACAGGAAGGTGGATTTGGAAAGGGAAAAGAATTAAAACAACCCATCACACGTGTCATTAGAAAATTCCATTTGAACAAAGAAGAAAAATTGTTATTATGGGAACAGTGGCACGTAACCGTCAGCACAATCAAACCACACACAGCACAGTGATCCATCAGAACTGGCCTTCAGAAAGGGAGAAGCGGGCTGAGCCGGATATGGGGCTGAACTGGGGGCTGAGGCTAAGCTGGGAAATGGGGCTGAGCTGGCTGTGGGGCTGTGCTCGCCTCTGCGACTGGAGCACCAGCACTGCTACGTGGGGATCCTGCAGCTGAACCTCACTGCTGTCCCGCATCTCTCTGCCTGTCGACACAAGTGTGCAATGCTCTCTAACTGGAATTCCTCAGACACAGCAAAGACTCAACTGCACCTGCCTACAGCAGCCCAGGTCTGTGCTGTGTGGGCACTCTGCAGCCCTGCAGCCTTCCTTGGGCTGTGCAGAAACTCCAGGTGACACCACCTGCTGGATCCTTCCCTTCAGCTACAGAGCCACGAGGAACTTCATGAACCAGCTTTAAAATGACAGTAAGCTGCTAACTGCTTATGTTACACAGCAAAACACCTTCCACCACTCAACTCAGGCTTCTCTATTTTTGATTCTGTTTTGATGTGAATGCCGATGTTTCAGAATATCTATTAATCCATTAATAAATATCTAATTAAGCTTGATGCAGCAGACAGTAAGTCCTGAAGTCCAGGAATTGCAATGGAGATGGAGCTGTCGGTGGTGCAGTGCTGCTTTGGTGTTCTGCAGAGCTGTGGCACAGAGCTCTGCTCTGCAGGGGACCCAGTGCTGTGTTGGGGCACACACGGCTTCAGAAGCATTGAAGTAAGCAGGAAAAGAGTCAGTCATCAGCACTGCTGCCAAGGACAAGGCGATTCCCTGTCAACACTGTGTCTGTAGGGCTACAAAGAAAAGGGAAAGATTCTGTTTCCTCGTTACTAATCTATTTCTGTGTAATGGAGAAGATGAAAAATACACAGAAAGGTTAAAAGAAGGGTATCTTTCCTGATTTGCCCCTGTGTGAATCATTGCTGATGTCAGTGGGACCACTTATGAGATTAAGGAATGGAACAACATTTGGCCATGAAGTACAAACATGAGTAGAACTGTTTTCTCAGTCATGTTCCTGACACTCAGGTGTTAATGGGGATTTATAGAAGAACCTTCGAGTCCTGCCTCTCCAAAGAACAGCCCTATTTATAAGGTAGTGCAGTCTTCACTATATCTGGAACATTAGATCATTCCACGGATAATTAGGCCTACATGCTAAAAACAGGTTAGACTTTTGTAATGACTCTCTGCAATGTCCCTGTGAAGATTTCAGCTCAAAACTGCACTCTGAGTTATCATCATTAGCGTTATAACCAGTGCACAAAGCTCTGGATGAATCGCAGCAGATGAACTTAAGGCAGAGACGAAAATCCTAACTAGGGTGCAATGATGTGCAAATATGAAGACACAATGCTGTATGGCCCTCTTACCAGCAATAAAAACCATTTTTGCTGTGACCTTAATATTCATCTTGACTTCAGAAGCTCTGACTAATGAGAACACATGAATAATAGATGCCCAGTCGCAGACATTCCCGAGCTGCTCAGCACAAGGCAGAGCGTTAACGCAAGGATGTGCCAGTAACTGATGGCTGCCTCACTTCCCGACCATTTCAGCAGAGGAGTTGAGCTAACTTGAATATTCTATGTTCACCTGTGGCTTAAGCAGTTTCTTCTCTTCTCCCCTTCACGTTGTTTCTTTCAGCCTATTATATTCAGTCCAGTCCAGAAAATCCCAATGGGATGTGTCACCTCACAGCACCAGCGCTCCTGTCCGGGCAAGGACTGCAGACACCCGGTGCTTTCCTTCGTCACACACGGAACTCTGTGCTTCCACAGCCCCTGGGAGCCCCACAGGGCAGCGCCCAGCAGCTCCCACAGGCAGCAGCAGTGCAGTGGCTGAGCCCCTGGGAGCAGCCCACACGAAGGTGCCTCCCTGCTGGGATATCTACTCTCAGAGCCCTCCTGTGTGCACTGGGCGTGCGCAGGCCAGGGTCAGCCGTACAGCCAGCTCAGCTCAGCTCAGCTCAGCAAGCCAGCACCATCAGCGCTGCTCTCCGTGCTGAACACCTCCAGCCACTGTCCAGGATGGGGAGCCCCAGCAGCCCAGAGAGCAGGCACTGTGACATCGGCTCCCTCGGGGCAGCACGGCTCTGCTGGCCCCTCACTGCCCTGACCCTCCTCCTATTGCTGGGCATCCACTGCACTTGAGTGGCCAAGACAGTTCAAGTGAAGCACCAAACTTCTACAGGTTCCACAGCAGGTTGGCTAAGTAAGAAGGTAGGCTGTGTTGATAAGGTCTGGTGTACACAAACTATAACTTGTGTTTCTAAGTTTAAAGGGCATAATTCAGAGCAGTTTGAGTACTTCCAGAAACCAGCCAACCCCCCTTGACTTAATGGAAGTGGGAAACCTCTGCAGATAACTACATCAGCCACTCGTTACAAAGCTTGTGAAATTGTTAACATCAGCAGGATGGGCAGTGATTGCTTATGCATTTGGTCTGTATTTTACAATGTGGTCTGAGTCCTGGCCTAATGTCTGCTCAGTCAAAGCCTTTCCATTGACCCCACGAAGCTTCTGCTAATACACACTAGAGGTTGCAATTAAATTAAATTAAATTAAAAGTAAGTTATTACCACTCACTACATCAAACAAATAGTTTTTGTGGCATTTGAATCACTGTATGCCAAAATTCTACCAATAAGAAAGAATGGTAAAAGGCATTGCACCAAATTCACAGGAACGCACATGCTGAACATGCTTGGGTAAAGACTCAATAGCTGCATTCTTCTTTCTCCCTTCCCCTAGCTAGCCTAAGTTACAAAGGGCTGTCCTCAGCCTCCTTCCAGTTTTGAGTATGTACCTGTCAGATGTCCCCAGCTTTCCATCACTTACCTCCTAGACTGACGGTGCTGCTCTACCATGGGCTCATGTGCAAAAACCTGACTCGCCTGCATTAATACAGGCAGAAGCTCACAGAGTGGGCTAAAATACGCTTCTGCGTGAAGTGCTGTTGGCAGAACCACAGCCATATTCAAGCTTTGTGTCTTGTTTACTTCAAAGGGATTTCTGCTTATGTGCGTAGCACAGACATCAATGCTTCAGCAGCTGCACTAGGATGAGTGTAACTGTGGTTGTGCTGGATTAAAACCAAGCACACCTCACTTCTGCTTAGCTGAACTCAGCCCCGACGCTCTGGCAGCAGAAGCGTGGATTCTGCTTGCGTGTGCTCACGGTCAGCTACCTGCAAGACTGCCTGGCTGGGCCTTATGACCACTGCACCGAAACTGAAACAAAGCCCTCCAGTTTTGACTCACACCTGCCTCTAAGCACAGCAAAGCTAAGGGGTCTCACAGCAAACAGAAACAAACACAGGAGCTGAAGAGATGTGTCATAAGGAAAAATTAATTGAGGGAAAGAGGAACAAGAGAAAAGATTTCCAGTTCTGATTTGGGAGGACAGAGCACAGTGCTGATTTTTATGTTAGAGAGGAAAACACCCACCCAGCCTCTGAAAAGCACCGGAGGGAAGCAGCCTCCTTGCCAGCATCCTCCGCTCAGCACGGCCGCACCGCACTGCGGCACCGCACGGCGGCTGGTGCTGCCCCACAGCTCCCGCCCTCCCACCCCGCCAGGCACGCGCTGGCACTTACCTGGTGGGAGAAAGGCTGTGTGCTGCTGCAGCTGCATGTTGGCAAGAGCTTGCTGGTATTGGAAAATACCAGTATTGAACACTGCGGTGGCACCATTGGTTTTTTCAAGCGCAGGCCTCTTTGGTAAGGGGGGAAGTACAGCTTGAGGAATTCCCTGAATGGTGGATGGGCATAAAAATAAAGTCCAGTAAAAAAAAAAAAAAAGGTGAGGGTGTGGGATGTGGAAGATGGGAGGGAGACAAAAAGAGAAGAGAGAAAGGAGAAAAGAAAAATCAGTAGAAGGCAAAAAAAAAACGGGCAGCACCATGTTTATCCATGAGCAAGCAAGCAGCGCAGCAGACTTTTAACTACCAAATAAAAGGCGAGGTCAAAGCTTCACAAGGGAGCACTACTTCGGCCTACCATGGCAGCAGTACAGGGAGACGTGTCGGAGCCGCGCGTTGTAAGAACTGGAGTAACCATTACACTACGGTAAAGCTTCAGGGCTCGGGCGAGGAGCAAGGCTATCGGGCGGGGGGAAGCAGCGCTGAGAGCTCCATGAGGATCAACACGTAGAAGCGATGTTAATCGGCACGGCGCGGCGCTGCCGGCACTACCCCACTCCCGGCCCCAGCGCCTGCCTGGCATGCAGAGCTTGCCGCATGCCGGCTCCCCCGGCCGCCTCCACGCCGCAGCGCCGCCAAGCCATGCCAACGCACCCTGCACCGGGCCCGGCCCTCGCGGCTCCCAGAGAAGGGACGGGGATGGGACTGGGATGGGACAGCAACAGGAAGGACAGGATGGGGATGGGAGGGGATGGGACGGGGACTGGAGGGGAGGGGACGGGATGAGAGGGATGGGATGGCATAGAAATGGGGATGGGGATGGGAGGGCAGGGCGGGGGGCGGCAGGGCCTGCGCAGGCTAAGGTTGCCGTGGGGCCTGGTCCCACTGCCCCCACGCCCATCAGGCAGGGAGGGAGGGATCCGGGAGCTTTTGGATTCTGCACGTTAACCCCCAACTCGACTCTACAATACAGCTACATGCCAAGCTAAAAGGTGAAAGGTCATAGTACCAGGTCAAAGGTTGCCTCGAGGGGTCGCTTCAGTGATTTGACAGCCGACTGAGTCTTAATTAGCAGGCAGCGAGCACATGATGGCAATGGCCAGTGGGGTCAAGCGCATTAACATAAACAGCAAGCAGAGGTGCATCATGGGGGCAGCAGTGCATTTGGGTAGGTGAGAAAAAACAAATAAAAACAAATCACCGGATGCCGTGTACAACGGTAACAAGACTAGGCATGCACATCGGGCCCGGGGCAGCGGGGGGCGGTGGGACGGGGGCTCTCAGAGCCAGCCCCCACGTGCCCCGCACCACAGCCCGGCTCCCTGCACCCTCCCTGCACTCACACACATGGATGGCGCGGCCAGGGCCTGGGTGGCCAGGGCCTCAGTGCTGTCACGGCCTCTATGGTCAGGGCCGGGGCCTGCATGCGGCCAGGGCCTCAGTGTCACCATGGTCTGCATGTGGCCGGGGACCCCACACCGCATCGGCCGCTTGTCAGAGCCGGGCCCTGCGCTGTGGGCTCCAGCAGCCTGCCCATGCTGCCCGCCGCGGGTGCAGGGTGGCTGTGGCCTCAAGATACTCTGCCGTGCACGCAGCCTGGTGGCTGCTCACCACCATGGGTCTGTATGTGCCTCCACACAGGTACGCATCTACCCGCACACTGACATACAATAGACTCTAGATACACGTATGCACACACACACACATATGCACATGTACATGTACATGTACTCCATACACCAGCAGGCAGAATTAGTGACATACTGTAACGGTCTGAAACTCTGCAAGAGCCGGTCTGGCACCACGTGCTGGGGCAGCTCGCTGTGCCCCATACCAGCCGGGACCCCAAGCACATCCCAGTAACAGTAGCTAACACTGCTCACTCCCTCTCGGCGCACTCATACCGTCGGATGCGGCTTCCCAACTCACCATGGCAGCCGCCGTTGCTGCTGCCTGGGCAGCTGCAGCCTGGTTAACCTGGTACTGGGCAGCCTTGATCTTGGCTTGCAGATGTGCTGGAGGGTGGAAGTATTTGCACTTTTCCCGTGAGCATCTCCCTTTGATGTAATCCATGCAGACCGTAACGGTGTTATCGTTGGTGTCGATCATGGCGCTGTCGGCGGGGTGAGCGAACCGGCAGTCGTTCTCGCCCCGGTTGCAGTTCCCGCGCTGGTACTCCCGACACACCTGCAACACCGGGAGGAGAGCTCAGCCCGGCGGCCATCCCACCCTGCCAGCACAGCACCGAGCACCAACAGGAGCACTTGTGGTGCCAGGGAACACCGGGAGCGGCGGTGCCAAGAGCCACACACACAGCAGGCCTTACTTCGGCCCCACTGAGCCCCACTCAGGGCAGCGCCCAGCAGCGCGGCTCTCGGCCGCCACCCGGCCATCCACAAGTCAGCAGGGCCGTGCTGGGCAGGCCCCTGTGCTGTGCTGAGCATGCACAGCACTCTGGCTTCCCATGGCTGTCATCAGAGAGCAACCTGGAGCGGCACCTGCACATGGGGCTCAGGCCATGGAGCAGCAGAGCAGCCACCAGCCTGGCACAGCCACGTCATGAGCAGAGCAGCAGAACCGTGCCGGGGGACCAGTGAGGCTGCAGAGTGCAGCCGTGTCACTGCCACCACCACATGGTACCAGCTGGCACCACCACTGGCTGCATCCCGGTGCCAACAGTGGTGGCCCCACCTCAGACACCTTGGAAACGTTCTCCTTAAGAAAATGGCATGGGTTCTATGGCCAGCTCTTCAGAAACCACAGACAAAAACACATCTGTCATTTTAGGTTTCAAAAGTTGTAGGAAACAGAAAGAAACAAAAGCAAGCAAGTTCCTAAAAAATAAAACTGCTTTAGTAGGTGGGATTTCCTTTTAAAAGTGGGTGCCACAAGCCTGGATCAGCAGCACTTCCTCGAGACCCTTGGCTCCGATCCACACAACAAACCAATCTCAGTTGATTACTGCCTCTCCATCACTGCCAGCATGCTGGCTGCTTTCTAGCCGCTGTGCTGCTTCAGGCCCAGCTGCCCATCACCCACAGCTCGGGAACAACACCCCAAGGACAGGCACCCTGCCACGCTCAGACCTGCTTGCAGGGAGCATCCTTTCTTCACTGTCATCCCTATTTATAGTCTTTTTTCCATATGGTGACAAAGGCTGTGAATGTATGTTTGGCAGTAAACACACTGACCCACAAAAGCCAGCCAGGGCACCTCCCTTCCTCTTCCATCCCCACCGCCTGGCTGCTTGCAGCTCCATGCTCGCAGGCTGTTGTTGTAGCACACATGGAACAGGCTGGGCACATTCCTCAGCTAGCAAACAACCACTTGCTTGCCGGATGACTTTTGGGATGATTGGCTCCTAACCAGGCCCTAGTTCCCCTTCTGGGCTGTAAATCAGTGTCTGTTACCCAAACACAGGCCTCCTAAGTAGACAGGAGTGGATAATTTTGTTTGATTATTTGCTAGAAGTCTAGAAAAGCCTTTTGCTCTGAAGATAAAAGATGCAACAAACAAGAGCTGGCTGCCTCTGCTCATCTTCTGCGCTGGTAATGCACAGAACCAAGGTCTCAGAACAACTCTGCATGTAAGCAGGAACTGCTCAACAAATAACCCAAGGATGACACACAAAATACACAGAAAAAGAGAGAAAAAGAAAACACACATAGAGGTAAGGAAACTTAACCCAGTTAAAAGCCAAAGGAAAATGACCAGAAGCCTAGAATAGCTGGGCAAAGGCCTTGGCATACACAGTGCCAGCTTTCACAGAGCTGTCACATGGTGGCCAACAGGGCAACAGGGCTCACAGCGCTGCTTGCCCATCTTTGAGTACAACTCACAGCACCAGACACAAGCCATGAAGCCACTGTGCCTTCTAACCAGGATGACCTGCATTGGCTTTGGAGCCACTACGATGCTAGCCAAGTGGTTCCAATTCTTGTTTACTTACAAGCAAACAATGAAAATGGTGTTACTTCTTGCCATAGGCACACAGTAATATATCACTCATTTGCTGGAGCACAGAGAAGCTTGGAAGCACGAGATGTGGTCTAGCCTTTCAGATCTGGAGAGTGTTTATCTGTTTGTTTATTAGTAGCTCCGTAATTAGCATCATCATTTTCCACTTGGTAAGCTAAGAAGCACAAACAGAACCTAAGACGCTGGCAGGGAGCCGCAGGACTCCAGCTGCCAGCCAAGGGAACCGCATCTCACTTGGACGGCGCGGTGCCAGCCCACCCCCAGCAGCCTGTGCTTTCACCTCCTTCCCTGCACCGAACTTATCACAAGGGCTGCACTGTCATCCAGCACGCTGTGAGTATCTGCAAGTCTCTGAGAACTTATAAGCTGCTTTTATCCAGAAAAAAAGTGGCATCTGTGAAGCATGCAGGAAACATGTGGCTGTTCTGATTTTCAAATACTTTGAATATAAAAAGATAGCACTCAAAGGGAACAAACAGGGCGGTGAGTGGCTTCTTCCTCCTCCACCTCCCCTCCTTTGAGGGCTCTCTTCTTGCTTACCAGAAGAGCCAACTTCTGTTCAGGATCTCTACGGCTGGGCAGGAACATGAGGGGAGCTGAAGGAAATTCTGAACCCAGGAAATCTCCACCCTGAGCCCAATGCCTTCAGTGAGTGGCTGCTGACCACCTGCACATCTGCTCACCATCAGCATGGGCAGTGCACCCCAAAAGCTTTGGAAGGAGCCGTGCTGCAGGAGCAGGCACCAGCCCAGCCCCACCAGCACCCACAGCTGCCCAGGACGACACTGAGCCCTGCTGCCTTCCTGAGCCCTGGGCACGCGTGCAAAGAGCTCTCCGCTGTGGGACAGTGTGATTCAGTAGCCTGGAACACGTGTGCCAGCTGAATTAACAACCGAGTACATCAGTCTTGAAAATAAGTATTTAAAATTCTAACCAGAACAAATCATATTCCAAGATTAGATGCTAACATCACATGGTTATTTTTTCATGGGACAGCTCATTCCGAGAGAGAGCCAACCATATAAAGCTCTGCAGTCAGGAAGAACAAACGGCAGCACGGTGGCAGTGCAGGGAGCAGAAGCCACGCGCTGCTTGCGGTGTGCCAGCTGCTGGGAGGTAAAATCTTCCCAATCTGCTCTGCATTCTTGTAATCAATAAAACACATAACAATGACCTACTGTTCATAAAAAATATGCGTTGATTCATCATTTGTACACTAAATCTTGACAGCTCAGATTAAACAGCCACTACACTGGACAGCAATGCCACATTCCCTACATATTAAACTACTGAAACTGCATTTGCCAAGGGGAAAAAAGGAGGAGGAGCAGCCCCTGCCCACAGCAGGCACTGCACGTGTGTGGGAGAGGCGTGGAGCTGCAGAACGGCTGCACCGAGGCAGGCTTCTTGTCATAGCAGAACACACAGCTTGAGGAGAGCAGGAGGCTCAGGGAGCTGCAGGGTGAAGGCAGGGCCGTGGGAAGGCCTGCTAGGAAGGCATGGGCTGGGGGGAGAGGAGGTGGGATAGCTCTCCTTCAAGGACAAAGGCATCACTGAGATGCACAGCCAGCTGAGGTACATGCAATCACACCAGAGAAGCTGCCAGATGCTGGCAGGCTGAGATGTCAGGAAATGAGAGGGAACTTGTTTGATTTCAGGTATTTTTGCAGACCTTTTTCTAACTGTGAGAGTAACACTCTCACAGCTCCCTGTCGCATGGAAAAGTGTGGCCCAGCAGCTCAGAACCTCTGACAGAATACGCTGCCAGCAGAGGGCTGGGCCTACAGGCAGTGGCTCACCTGCTGCAGCCCCTTCCCCTGCACCCTTGGCTGCAGGCAGGGTGCTTGGAAATACCCATCTCCAAGTTTTATTTCTGAGCCCAATGTGGTTTATTTAGGAGTTTATCTGACAGCATTTTATTTTAATCCCTTTCCTGTAAATCTCTCCTGTGAAATAAAGAGCAGGCGGAGGAGAAATCTCTTACAGTGGAGGACATGCCTGCCCGGGAAAGCTGCCCCTCCTGCAACCTCAATGTGCTCCAAGGAGCTCCTTCCTTTGATACACCAACTCCATGGGGAAGCGCTGTGACCCTGCAGGAGGGCACCTGTGTGGATGTGGCCCAGGAACACCAGTGCCAGGCAGCTTGCTGCCTTCTGTGCCTCGCACCACACGCTCACAGCATGCTGCTTCTGAGGTGACACCACTGAGGAGAAGGCACTCATGGCCCCCATCAGCAGACGCATGCCCCATCACCGCAGATGCCTAGGCAGGTAGAAAGGCACTACCATTACGGCTGGCTGCACTCTAAAACAGATCCCTGCCACTGCTCCCACCACACGCAGGGATGACCTCTACAACATCAGCTCACCCTGTGCCCCCAGACACCTGTGGTGCAAGGAGCCGGTGGGTACCCCGGGAGCTGCTGGGTGCTGCTTCACATCTGTGCTGGCACCAAGGGCACCACACACAGCATCACACAGCATCACACTGCCTGCTGGGACGTCACCCACCTGCACCACCCAGTACAACGACTGCATGGCACGGCGCTGCCTCCGAGCACGACGCCAATATGGTACCGAGGACACGGCCAAGACTTTCAGATCAGAGAGATTCAGGGCAAGGGGGAGCGAGAGCCAGCGAGGACCAGCGCTTGCCAGGGCCACAGCAAAGGAGCACACAGAGGCGCCGGGCAATGCCAGCAGCACGTGCCCAGAGCAAGAACACGGCAGAGCTGGAAGCGGCTCCCAGCCGGCAGCTGCAGCAGGCCCTGCGCCCGTGCCCATTAGCAGCTGCTGCGCACACATTAATGCGGCCTCAGGACACTCTCAGTGCTCCGCTTCCCTCTGGGCTGCAGGGCCAGGAGCAGAGCCACAAGCACGGCATGGGGCTGCGCGCTCTCCCTGCCCTCAGCCAAGGCAGGACACCATCAGCTGAAGTGACGCTTGCGGTTTGCTTTTGCCAGAGAACTACATTCTCCCTGGCATACGCAGCGGCTGGCACTGCGGGAGCAGCTACCATTGGGCTCCTACCTCCAGCCTGTCCGTCCTCATCAGCTTCTGCGCAGCAGCAGCGGCGGCAGCAGGCACCGGGACACCAGGGTTGCCCGCCACCAGCATGGGCGCGGTGGGCAGGATCTCCGCCGGCACCAGCCCTGGGGACACAGGCCCCAGGTAGGGGTTGAAGGCAGCCGAGGCATTGGTGGCTAGGCTGGGCGCGACGGAGAACATGGGCTGCAAGCAGAACAGAGACACGCGTAAGTACGGGCACCTGCCGCGCTGCCACCCGGCGCTCGTGGGCACGGGACTGGTCTGCGGGTCTCGGAGGAACGCAGCCAAAGCACGTGCAGGTGTCTGGTGCTGGTGAGAAAGGACCGGCACGAGGGCTGCGGCACGCGGCAGCAAGCTGCAGGATCAAGCGCTGCAGCGCGGATCGGGACCTGCTGCCCCACCGAGGGCAGGGCACGGTGCTGGCACGGCCCGTCGGACTCTGCCCAGCTCTTTGTCTCCAGATCCAAATAAAGCAGTTGCTCAAGGCGTTTCCATTTTTCTTCCACGTAAATTTTTAGAAGGAAAAACAACGGAGTTAATGCAACTTTTTTCTCTGTTTCCTATCTATGTAGGCCAGCCAGCACAGAGCACCACATGGCTTTGAGTTCCTGAGGAAATGACCCAATTGTTTGCAAGCAAGGAGCAAGTCTGTCTGAAACACTGCACAAAAATATATGCAAAGGTTACTGGAGAAAGAAAGCCTGATATTTGCATAAACCAGAGGCCTCTCTTCGATGTATTTGCTTTTTCATCCACGTGAACAAGGAAGAAATACGTAAATTTCACAAGAAACAAAATAGTATTAAATTTGCTATTAATTAACCATACTTTTCATTACTGTGTTATCGTCTATGCAATAATGAACCTATTAGTAGGATGATAGAGAAGAATCTTTTAAGCAATGGCTTTCACCATCTGCTGTACGTTGACTTTCAGCTTCTTCATAGCCCCCTTCATAGTAAGACTGCATTGGCACCAGTGCGGCATCACTGTACTCCAGTCAGGAAAGAAAAACAAAACTGTGGCATACTGTGCAGTTGAAAACATACGGGGAGGCAGCTCTGGAGTTAACGCCTGCACAGCAGCACAGTGTGGCCTCACTGGTGCTCACACGGCAGCACGGCCTCAGCTCGCTCCCTCACTTCGGTGTGCAGTTGTATTGAAGGATGCTCAACAGAGCACGGAGAACGCCCTGTCTTCGCACACTGTGGTAACTGCAACCAAAGGCAATTCACTGTGAAGATCCCTCCACAGCGCTTTCTGATCTTCCCAGCTACATACACTTTTTCTTGAAATAGGTGAGGCATAAAGTTCTATGGGAGAAGTTGTATTAAATAAACCAAACAGGCCACAGAGTGCAAGCGGGCCATTCTCTGCATCTGTCCCCCTGCTGCCAGCCCCATGGCTGCAGGCTGAGCTCCATGCATGACTCACACTGAGCTCTGCCCCGCAGCATGCAGCCAAACCAAAGCCCACACAGAGCACCCGGAGGGCTCCCCTAAATGGGTGGAATACAGCCAGCAGGAATCTTCCCCACAATTTCTCAAAGCATATGAAATTGCAAAGGAAATAGCTGTCTACTAAAATCACACACACATCGCTCACATTCCTAAAATTAAGAAATATATTATAAAAAAGACAATTAAATTAACAAGTGAAACAGTGTAGTCTCAAGCAAGGAGGAATTGAGTAGCACAAAGACATGCAGCCCAGCACTGGATTTCCCCATTGGTTCCTGACATCTATGGGCTCCTACAGGCTCCCACCCCCCAGCACTCACTGCCCTGGCCCCAGGCACATACCACAGGCTGCAGCGGGGCTCCGGGCATCATGGCATTGGCAAGCTGCATCTGCTGGGCCAGCATGGCCATGTTCTTCTGCTGGATCAGGTTATTGCGGCCATTGATCTCCAGCTGCGTTTTTAAGTGCGGCGGCGGGTGAAGGTACTTGCAGTTCTCCCTCGAACATCGCCCCTGAGGAAGAGAAGGAGCACAAGAGACTTAGGCAGGCAGAGGCACATCTCCTGGGGAGCCCCCATCAGCCCAACCCAGCCAACCCTGCAGCCCCAGCCCCTTCCAGGGCAGCCAGGTGTGGACGGAAGCGACTGCACGGCTCTGCTACCAGCTGCCTGCTTCGCCTTTCTAAACCACGCATTTTGCAGAGCAATGCTAATAAAATGCTGCTGCTGCTGCTGGAAACCAGGCAAGCAGCAATGGTTGTAAAGTAAACCATGCACATTCCTTACAGGGATGCATTTTGCCCCATGACTGCAGCACATAGTGGGGCTGGAAAAGGCTCACCTGGTGCTGGCCCCACACTGAGCAGCTCTGACCCAATGTACAGCACCAGGGTCACCGGGTGGCACTGAGGCCACTGCAGCCATCTCAGAGCCAGGACAGAGGGGTCACCTGCATGCACTGAGCAGATACATTTCATGCACTGCTTGCAGGGTGACAGAGCAGCTTCAGCTTTCACTGATGAGGAGATAATGCAGTAATGAAAAAAAAAGTTAAAAGGGAGAAGAGAATTGAATCCTCTTCTGGAAAAACAGATCCTTCAAATTACAGTTCTTCTCCTTTACTCATTCCTCTTTGAAACAAATCCAAGCAGGAACAGTGACAAGGCAAAAGAGAGCCTTACGTTCAGTAAAAAAGACATTTTTATCAGGAAACAAATCAATTCAGTGCAGTTTGACCTTATCCTGCAATTCAGCTCAGAACACTGACTGCGCTCTCGTTACAGCAGCTGCCAGCAGCCTGCACTGCTCTCTGTCCTGCAGCCCGGGCACCCAGCTCAGCGCTGCCTGCAGGCCCAGGCTCCTACAGCACAATCTCATGTCTTGCCCGCTGGCTCTGCCCGAGTCCTGCGCAGAAGATGCAGCTGATGCACAGGGCGGCAGCCCTGATGCTGGCTCCCAGCAGTGAGGATGCACACTGTGTTTCTGGGAAGGCAGATTTGTGTCAGCACAGCACAGTGCTGAATGTCACATCTCCCCTTCCCACAGCGGGGCCTACATGGGTGCTTACTGACACTCAGCAGTCACTGTGGTGGTCTAATCAAACCACTCACCTCTGCAAATTCAAGCCACCCTGAAACTGAGCGCAACAGCAGCATATGAGGATGTGCACCGAGACACTGCGGGCTGCCCCTGGCCCAGCCCCCAGCTTCCCCCCGGGAATGGACAGTGCTGCTCTGCCCCCTGTGCCCCACAGCCGCCCCACTGGGGTGCTGGTCCCACCTCCCAGGCACAGGATGAGCAGGAACAGCCCCGTTTTCCAGCTGTCCTGGCCAGGTCAGCTGCTGGATGCTTGTGGGCAGTGCTTCAGAAGCTGTCCCTGTGACCTCCTGGTCCTCACTCAGGCACATAATGCACAACATTCTGAGAGTAAAAGGGGCATCTTTGTGTCTGGATAGAGAAGCAGATGCAAGGTGTCATGGATTTACAGTTATTTAGCACTGCAGACCCACACACTGCACCTGACTGCCAGCTGCAGGCATGGAGCACAGCTCAGCACAGTGTGATAACAAGTCGCTCTCCCTCCTGCTTAGTTCCCCTATTTCAACTGCCACCAGCTGCAGATCTGCTGGGTTCTGCTGAAGCTGCCCAACGGCTGCACTGCAGCAGCATTAACGTTGAGTGTGATGTCCAGGGTCCCAACCTCCTGGTGCCACAGGACAGAACACAGGCAGGTTGGCACACCCTGCACCCAATAACAGGGACCTTGCTTCGAGGAGCCTGGAAACAGTTCTGCGTTACCTAACTCCAAGTTAATGGAAAGAGCACCATAAGAGGGATGGCATAATGGATAGCATCATACACTTGTTAAATAGCCAGCAGGTCTAAAAACTGCTCTCTGCCCTGGGAGGAGGGAGAGCAGCCCCTGCAGGCCATGAGCCTGCTGCTCTGTGTGGGGCTGCTGCCCTGCAGCCCCAGCAGGATGGCCTCCTGCCTCCCCTTGGGCCTGCGCTGCTTTCTTTCTCCACTTTGAAGCAGGCTGCATGCACTCCTAGGTCTGAAAAAGGAGATGCAACTGCTTGCACATGTTTTAGCGGAGCGCTGGTGCGGTGTGTGGCTGTGCTACCTGTGGGAGGCAGGGGGCAGGCAGAGTGGTCACTGGTGATCCCACCATGGGTAAATACGCTGGCACTCACCGTTATGGACACTATATTTAAAACTGAATTGCTATTATACAAAAATAAAACCTTGCTTTTGTGATTTAGGAGCAGGCAGAGACAGCGCACAGCAGGACCCGGCGCACGGCTCTGCAGCACTTGTGCCGTGAGCAACAGTGCAGGGCTGCAGCTGCAAAGCACTGTGCTTCCCTCTGCACAGGGGCACCCGAGAGCAGCCCCATATACCCACTGCTCAACCAAATCATCCTTTGCAAATATATGAAGTATTTTCAGAGTGCTTCTTATTACACAAGCGACCAATGGCCCTCTTCAAGCGGTGCATCTCATCCCAGCACACTGTGCTGCACCCACCTGCTTTACCCACAGCCACCCGAGGGCAGTCCTTCAGGAAACACCATGCAGCTGCCCACATTCTCATTTCCCAGCACTGCAAAATGCTGAGGCCACTCCCTGCTGCAGTGCAGCTCTGCTGTAGGTCAGGTCTGCTGAATGGCCAGGGTTGAAAAGGACCTCAAAGATCATCTAGTTCCAAACCTCTCCTGTGGACAGGGTCACCAACCACTAGACTAGGCTGGCTGCCCTGATGATGTTGCTATGGATGTCCCTTCCCAGCCCTGGCAGCCCCAGCCCTCCTGCCCTCCGAGCAGCACCCAGCTTTGGTGCTCTTCGCAGTGTGGGAAACACAGCTACTAAATGCAAGACCTTAGAGCACTCAAGGAGTGAAACACGTAATAGCATTTCTAACATGCAGAAATAATGCAGGAAACTGAGCAGAAGCCATTGAATTCTTAGCAACAAAACTACCTGGAGCTACCACGCGTTATGCCTCGCCACAACTGCTGAAATGCGCGCTTGTTTCTCAAGGCACAGAACTGCAGTGCACTTAGGACTAATTCAAAACCTGAAGATAGACCCACGGGCTGGCAGCACCCAGCGAGGTGCAACGTGCCATACAGCTGGGATGCAGAACGTGAGCACAGCTGCTTACAGCGCAGCCACCAAGATGCTGCAAAGCCCCAGCAGGGGCCATGTCACTGCCTGGGGTGTGGGGCAAAGCAGGGCACAGGAATGCAGAAGGGCCGAGGGCTGCTGGCTGTGGTGTGAGGCAGGGATAGCAGCAGTTCCTGCAGCACTCCAATACAAACAGGCAGGAGTGCAGCTGTGCTGACAAAGCCATGATCTGGACAGCAGGCACAGAGGAATGCTTTGCTTTATGGTCAGCGCTCATCACCACAAGAACTGTGGAACTTAACTGGGGATGTGTCCTTTACTGTGTAATTTATTAACGTGCAGAATTCAGCAGGCAAAAATTAAAACAATTGCAATTAGTACTTTTTATAGTGCTATGGTGCAGTCAAAAGGAAAAAAAAAGCACAGGCTCCTGCCCATGCTCAGCCAGGCCTGCATGCTGCAGATCACCAGGACTTGCAATTTTGTGAGAAACTGCTTTACATTCCATATCATCCCAGACCAGCTGGGCACTACTGTTATCTACCAGCTTTATGTCTCTTAACTTTTAGAAAAAGGTTCTCTGAAGGAAAGCCAAGCTGTAGTCCTGCCTACAGAGCACACCCTGCTGAGCATCCTGCAGCAGCCACAGCCCCGCAGCACCTGCTCCCCTTTCCAGCTCTGAGGCCAGCAGAACCAACACTGCCACTTACAGAACCAGGGATCGGTGTCACATCAGCTAACTCAGGCCGACCTCCAGCAGCACGGAGCGCTTCAGACACCGCAGCACACAGCAATGCACCGCACCTGGCCCAGCACCAGGAGGAATGCCCCATGCTGTCACCAAGTCCAGGTGACACAGTGAGCCCAACGGGCAGAGCCAAGCAGGGCTGGCAGTCACGCACCATTGCCTCCAGTGCACCTTTATGGCTCCTGCTGCCATTTTTACACACGTGCTCACAGTGGCTCAGTCCTGAGTGTGGGTGCAGAGCAGTGTGGCTGCTCCCTTACACTGCATACAGCTGCCCCAAGGAGTGTCACCCTGATCACCTGTTACTCAGAGGCTGCTTCTGAACTGCATCGCTGCTTTAAGTGCTTACCTACCAAAATCAGCGTTAGTGCCATCTGAAGCTTGCACGCAGCCCGCTGCTCCTGCCAGGTGCACCAAACACCCAGAGAACCACCACCCACCCTGGGCACTCATGGCAGAAGCAGTTCCACTGAGCAATGTGTGCTGCAGGAGCACCCACACAACAGCACCCTGGCGCTCCCTGCACCCCCGCAGCAGCCCCAGCAGTGCAAGGCATGCGGCCCACATGCAGCCTCAGAGCAGCTCAGGGCAGCAGCCCCCAGCTGCTCACATCCCACACAACCACGGGACACCACCCGGCCCACAGAGCATCCTGCTGCCATACGGAGCAGTGCTGGAGGCTCTAGAGCTACGTGCTTCCCATGCTGTAATGGCATTTTGTGGAAGCTTCAGAAGTGGGGGGAAAGTTGAAAGGAGGATCAGATTGCCCCAGTGATGATCTTCTGCATGGAAAACACTGCTACCACATTGCAGCACTCACCAGTGAAGGGACAGCAGCATCAGATGTTGGTAAACAGGCAATGCCAGAAAACCAGTTCAGTATTTGACTGCATAGCCTTCGGGGCATGCATACACAGCAGGAAGGAAAGGCAAGTTTAAATAATAATAGATTGAGAGGGAAAGCAATCACAGCAAGCCAAAACAAAGACAAGATAGGTTAATCGTTTTTTATGGCATAGGCAAACAAAGGAAGAAAAGGACATAATGAGCAAATGGTTACACAGCAAGAAGTGAAAGGACTTGACCATAAACTTTATGATTTAAAAGCTAGTGCAGTGAACGTCTCTGTGTAGTTTGGAT